TTCTGAGCCAGTTAGGCCCCTGCTTCTGAGAACAACATCCCTAAGCAGGAAATGCAAGTGCCCAAATTTAGTCAAACAGCTTGGCCGTTACAGGTTATGAAGAATCCCATGATGGTGGCAGCCACTTCCTCCCTGTACACCACGCACATGGAAGCCTCTGGGCTATGGGGTTGGGTGGGGGGGGTAGGGGTGTCTGCTTTCCTCCAAGGATAGCCTAGAGCCAGAGAGTCATCATTCTCTGGGTAGCTGGGAGACCTCGGGCTGGCCCAAACCTCTTTGAACCTCATTTCCTAGTGGTTGAAATGGGGATAGCAATACTCAAGGCCACAAGTATGGGAGGGTAGGTTGTTTACTGTGCGAGGCTGTCCAACAAAGGGGCCCTACAAATGCCCTGCAGAGGCACCTGTTCCTAACTGCACACGAGTACCTTATGGACCAGTGGCAGCTATCACCTCGCAGAGCATCTGGGAAATCACCTGAAGAAACCCAGGAAGGGAAGAGACACTGTTTCTGCTCAGAGACACGCAGGTTCTTGTGAGCACCGCAGATCCAGGGAAGAGTGTTTCTCCTCCTCTCCGGGGTCCTCTGTCTGCCTCTCCAGGCAGTCCCCTCCCTTCCCTTCTTCCCCTAGCCCAGGCTCATAGACATTCTGAGCAGACGAGCTCTTACTCCTCTGCAGATGGATTCCTTTGCATGAAGGCTGATGTTGACATTTGATACCAGCATCCATTTCACAGCCTCGCTTCTGATCCCCATGGACCTCTCTCAGCTTTGCCCACAAATAATCACGGAGCCCCTCCTGCCTGCTTTCATCCGCTCGTTTTTTCCTGAGACTGGACCTCTACTCCTAATCTCCACCTCTCCTTGCTCCCCTCTGCCACCTCCCCCATCAGACATATTTAGGAGAACCAAGTTGTCCCTTCCAGCTCAACTCCCTGCTCAGGAGAGGGAGCCCCCACTCCGGGCGTGCACTAATTATGCGCACCTACACGTTTCCCTTGCCTCCCTCCCAACCTGGGCTTTAAGCTGCTTTTTGTTTGGTTGTGAAAGTCATATATTAAGTGACAGTTCTCAGAATACAATTTTAATTAAGATTCAGTAGTCACTTCTCTGTCAGTAATCTTCCATGCTGATGACTTAAAATATATTTACCCAGTTCTATTATGTCCCAGCTTTGAATTCATTAGACGTCTGTTAATCCTTAACAAACTTTTAAAAAGCAATTTCCAAGGACAAAACTGTTTGAAACAATGAGCCCCGCGCAGGGTGCGCACCCTGGAGTGTCCCAGGCTTCCCTGCTTGCTGTCGCTGCTGCTCTCTAGCAGAGGACAGGTGACGGGACTGAGGACAGCCAGCCCCAGAGGATGCTGTAGGATGGGGCAGTCTGCCCAGACGGCTAGCATTCCCAGGGAGAGGGGCCAGGGGAGGATCTGGAGGGACAAACCACAGAGAGCTCGCATAGGCCATAAGCAAGTTTGGCCCTGGACTCCTAGGAACTTGATAAGCCCTCCCATTTCCTTGCACAGCATGATATGAAAATGCTGGACGTGCCTCTTGGCCTTTGGTCACTTCAGTGTTTAGGCGAGAGCTGTAAGGAGGATGGCTTTCTCTCGGGGCCCTAGGCTTTCAGCATAGTACCCCCACCCCCACACACACACCACACAAACATATGCACACACACGGCTGCCTCCCACTTAACTAGGGAGGGACATCCCTGGATCCCCAATGGGTAGAGGGAACACTGTTCACCTCTACTTAAGAAGACGCAGTAGCCGGAGGAACAGGGACTCCCTGACTGTAGGACCAGAGTGAGTCATGCTGGGAAGGGCAGCTGATGCTTGACAGAAGATGCTTCTGAAGTTTTTTGCTGTGACCACACCTCTCCATAAAGTGGTTTTCTCAGCTGACCGACTGAATGAACCCTGAACAGGATTAATACAGACCTCAGAACCTCAGTGACAATGCCAGAAACTCCCTTGGCTCAGTTCCTACTTCATTTTCATTTAATTGATATTTATTGGGTACTTGCTAGAAGTTGGGTGAGGTGCTAGGCCCTGGGGATACAGTGAGGGGTGGACAAGGTAGCTAAGTTCTCTGCCTTTTGGCATTTACAGTCTAGGAAGGCAGATAGATGTGAAAGGAAGGCATTATAATTAGAAGTTCAGTGAGCACTCCGTAGGACAAGTATAGAATAAGGGACACACAGCAGCAGAGCTGAATTTGGTCCAGGTTGTGCGGAGGCTTCCTGGAGTAGGTGATGTGGAAGCCATCAAGATGTGGAGGGGGAAGAGGAACTTGGCCAGGCAGGAGTGGAGGGAGGGAGCGAGGCCAGCAAGAGACCAGAGTGTGTTGGCAGTCTTGGAGGAAGATCGAGCATTGCATTTATAAGTGAGAGATGCTGAGCCTCGCTGGGACGTGAAAAGCAACGGAACGGAGAGTGGTAAGAGATAAATAAACCTGGGTAGTGGCCATGGCCAGCCCCTTGCAAAAATGTGTCCTTGTGCTAAAAAAATAAGAAGAGGGTCAATGCAGATGGAGAAGATTCCTGTTTGTTTTGCCAGGGTCCCAGCTCCGTAAGGACCTGAAAGACCCTTTGAGCACAGAGCGCCTTTGAGCACAGAGACAGTGGCAGGCAGAAAGCTTCCACATGTGGACACCTCTGGGTTGGATATTCCTGGTAGGACCTAGGTCAGGGTGGCCAGGACCCCTCAGGGCTGTGAGAGCAAGGATTGGCAGGGTGGGTTGTGGCTCAGAAGAACCCAGAGCAGAATGTGTAGAATTAGGCACATTGGCAAGGGCTTTTAATGATGGTGATCGTAATGAAGAAGATAAAGAGGGGAAAAAAAAATCCACCACAACAGAGGTTAGTAAACTTTTTCCAGAAAGGGCAAGACAGTAAATACTTTTGGCTTTGCCGGTCACGTGATATCTGCTGTAACTACTCCCTTTTGCCACTGTAGCGCGCACACACACAAACACACACATACACGCCATATCTGTAGATAATATGCAAATAAATGAGCACGGCCGTGTTCTAATAAAACTTTATTTCCAAAAACGGGTGGCAGGCTAGACTTGGCCCTCCGATGTAATTAGCCACCACCTGCTCCAACAGTGCTATCCAATATGATACCCGATGGCCACATATGACCAAGGAGCACTTGAAATGCGCTCTCAGTATTAAAGACACACCCAATTTTGAAGACTTAGTATGAATAAAAGAATGTTAAATATCTCATTGATAATTGTATGTATTGCTTCTATGTGAAAGAATATTTTGAATATAGTGGTTTAAATAAAATACATTAAAATTTATTTCACTTCTTTCCCTTTTTATATGCCCATGAGAAAATTTTAAGTTACATTTAATGGCTAGTAATCATCTTTCTATCGGACAGGGCTGATCAGAAACAACACTCTATCCAGATGCAATACAGATTTAGTCTCTGACCCTAAGGGGTCTTAGGTGGGGGATTTACCCTGAAAGACGTAATAATGGAATTCATATCTTCACCATAAAGTCGTATCTGATTGGAATAAGTTTTAAAATTTGCTTTATATCATTTTAAATCTGCCAGGTGGTTTTTTTTTTTTTTTTTCTGCACTTGTGCTTCTCAAACTGGGAGCTCTGGAGCCCTATTTCCTCTAGATATTAATGATGGTTGCTTCCAAAAAGGAATATCTTTAGCTTAAAAGGAGGGAAGCAAGGCAGAATTAAACACTAATCCATTTTCTTTACTGCAGCAGAATTCCTCAGCCCTTCTCTACTTGCTAATGCATACAGAGCTTTTGCAACAGCAAGAAAAAGCGGGCAGTGCGTCCCCAACTCCGTGGCCTCAGAAGGCCTTCCTCGGTAGCACGTTGTTCTGAGAGAAGCCACCCAACCGGTGTGCAGGATTCTCAAACGTCCAACCCCATTGATGTTTTTAGCACCACATAAATAGAACTAAGTTAGTACAACATGGAATAGTGAGAAAACTGTAAGATTCAGAGGCACAAAGACCTGAGCCAGAGTCCATTCCTCCCTTCCCTAGATATCCATTCATCCAAAAGCACCAACTAGGTACCAGCCAGAGCCTCATGCCCTGAGTATGTGGTGGTGAATAAAAACAAGTCCCCTCATCCTGGGGCTTTGTTGCTAGTACAGAAGACAAGCAATACACAAGATGAAACAAATAGACAGTAAGGTAGATCATGATGAGCTCCCAGAAGAGAACACAAAGCAGGAAAGAGGGACATGCACCATCGGGGTGGGGCCTCGGGGAGAAGGTGACTTTTGAGTGAACACTGGAAGGAGGCCATTCAGGGTGGACGAGTCCTCATCTATATACACAGATAAGCCCTTCCTTATGAAAGCCGTTCCCAAAGCCCAAATGAGATGATGTGCATGGAGGTCTGGGCAGAGGACCCAGCACATAACAGGGTGCTCAGAAGAAGTTCATGCCTTTGCTTCCAGCCTCACCCCCTTCTCCACTTCCCTGAACTCCCAAAGCTTTATCCACCATGTAGATTCTCCATGCGGAAACGTACCTACTTCCCCAATAACCCTGGCATCTCCGGGGCCAGCTCTCTCCTTGTCCATGTCCTTGTTCCTTGTGAATGTTGGTCCAGTTTGATTTCAGGCCGTCAAAGTGCTTCAAAATACACAGAACACACTTTTCAAGTCTGATGATTATCAGATGAACCACTGGTATGGAATCCATTCGTTCAACACATTTATGGAGCACCTACTGTGTTCTGGGCACCGTGCTAGATGTGTGGGATACAGCAATTAACAAAACAGACAAAAGAACCTTCCATTGTAGAGCTGACATTCCAGTGGGGGAGATAGGAAATATTCCATAAACATAGTTAGTAAGCAAATTACATAGTCTGTTAGAAGGTGATAAGAACTAAGGCAAAAAAAAAAAACTATATTAGCGGGATCGATTGGCAGAAGAGATTAGACCTCACAGGAGCACAGGCCCTTCTCTGCTGCTCTGAAAGGCAGGGGTTAGAGTGATAGGTGAAGCCCTGGTAGGGCATTAGGAAGTTGCCTCTTGACCCTGACCTTGTGTCCTTCCCTTCCAGGCACCGCAGCCTGAGTGACCAGACCATGGAGACCCTGCTTGGTGGCCTGCTGGCGTTTGGCATGGCGTTTGCCGTGGTCGACGCCTGCCCCAAGTACTGCGTCTGCCAGAACCTGTCTGAGTCACTGGGGACCCTCTGCCCTTCCAAGGGGCTGCTCTTCGTGCCTCCTGACATTGACCGGCGGACGGTGGAGCTGCGTCTGGGTGGCAACTTCATCATCCACATCGGCCGCCAGGACTTCGCCAACATGACGGGGCTGGTGGACCTGACCCTGTCAAGGAACACTATCAGCCACATCCAGCCCTTCTCCTTCCTGGACCTCGAGAGCCTCCGCTCCCTACACCTCGACAGCAACCGGCTGCCCAGCCTTGGGGAGGACACCCTGCGGGGCCTGGTCAACCTGCAGCACCTCATCGTGAACAACAACCAGCTGGGTGGCATTGCCGACGAGGCCTTCGAGGACTTCCTGCTCACACTGGAAGACCTGGACCTCTCCTACAACAACCTCCATGGCCTGCCCTGGGGCTCCGTGCGGCGCATGGTCAACCTCCACCAGCTGAGCCTGGACCACAACCTGCTGGACCACATCGCTGAGGGCACCTTTGCCGACCTGCAGAAGCTGGCTCGCCTCGACCTCACCTCCAACCGGCTGCAGAAGCTGCCCCCAGACCCCATCTTTGCCCGCTCCCAGGCCTCCACCTTGGCCGCCACACCCTTTGCTCCACCCTTGTCCTTCAGTTTTGGGGGAAACCCGCTGCACTGCAATTGCGAGCTGCTCTGGCTGAGGAGGCTGGAACGGGACGATGACCTGGAGACCTGCGGCTCCCCGGGGGGCCTCAAGGGCCGCTACTTCTGGCATGTGCGCGAGGAGGAGTTTGTGTGTGAGCCACCTCTCATCACCCAGCACACACACAAGCTGCTGGTTCTGGAGGGCCAAGCAGCCACGCTCAAGTGCAAGGCCATTGGGGACCCCAGCCCCCTCATCCACTGGGTTGCCCCCGATGACCGCCTGGTGGGGAACTCCTCAAGGACCGCCGTGTATGACAATGGCACCCTGGACATCTTTATCACCACGTCTCAGGACAGCGGCGCCTTCACCTGCATCGCAGCCAACGCTGCTGGGGAGGCCACAGCCATGGTAGAGGTCTCCATCGTCCAGCTGCCACACCTCAGCAACAGCACCAGCCGTACCGCTCCCCCCAAGTCCCGCCTCTCGGACATCACCGGCTCCAGCAAGACCAGCCGGGGAGGTGGAGGCAGTGGGGGTGGGGAGCCTCCCAAAAGCCCCCCGGAACGTGCTGTGCTTGTGTCCGATGTGACGACCACCTCGGCCCTGGTCAAGTGGTCAGTCAGCAAGTCAGCGCCCCGCGTGAAGATGTACCAGCTCCAGTACAATTGCTCCGACGATGAGGTACTGATCTACAGGTGAGCCGGGGTGGCAGCGGGGCAGGGAACTGTCTGGCTGGGGAAGGAGGAGGCGCTGGGGAGGGTTTTGAACTGTTCCCACCCATGCCCCTTATCTGAGAGGTGCCTTGGGGAGTCGTGGGGCGAGTTGTGCCCTCGGTGCAGGTAAGAGGACACAGAAAGCACACCGACTCAAGTGTAGGAAGAAAGGAACTCCGTGGGTAGCCCCAACAGATGTGTATATAGGAGGACCTGGCTCCCCAGGGCGTGGCTCTGGCAGGTGGGCATGTGACTATGAGCCTGCGAAGAGTGGATCTGGCCTTTACCCGGACATGCATGTAGCCATGCTTCAAGCACAAGGTCAGGAAGAGTAGAATTCGGATCACAGCCCCGCCACTTGATAGTCATTTAATTCTCCCGGCCTGCCTGTTTGTCCCCATCTGTAAAATGGGAACAATGTGTACCTTAATCTGGACACTTGATTGCAGGTAATGGAACCCAATCCAAACTGGCTGAAGAAAGAGAAAGGGAAAAGGGAGAGGTAGGGTGTTGACTCATGTAGTATTAAAGTCAGGAAGCTGCTCCAAGCTCAGCCAGATCAAAGGCCTTCCCACAGCATCCTGTGTTCTTAGACTTTCTTACCTTCCCTAAGCTCTACTTTCTTCTGGTTGGCCTCACTCCCCCACACAGTCTCTTCTGTCTGAGCAGCCCTCAAGGGAGGAGAGCGTCCTTTTGTCCCACTCACAGCTGGTCCCACAGGACACCCGGATGAGCTCTGATTGGCAAAAGCAGGTCACGGAAGCCTGGATATTACAGGTGGGGTCATCCTGTCCAACCCCCTGCAACCCCATGCTGGCATCTCTGGGCACCAGTCTGGCAACAGAGATAATGATGTTGACCTTGTAAATGTATGGTTTGGACCAAGGGGTCATTTCCTGGGCCTGGTAGAGAGGGAGGTTAAGACTAAAAACCTGCCCCAGAATCACCTCCATCGTTCGGAGGGAGGAGCTCACAGAGCGATAGCTCCAGGTCCCAGGGTCCCAGCTCCCACTGCGGATGAGTTCCCGTCTCAGCCAGCTTCAGTTTTCGGTAAACATGAAGCACATGGCCAAGAATCTCACTGCTCGAGAAACGCCTGGTTTCTTTGGAAATCCTCTGTTTTCTTTTATGCTTTTATTTTATTTATTTTATTTTATTTTATTTTTTCAGAGGGAGAGAGAGAGTACTGGAGAGTAAGTTGGGTCCAGAGAGAGGGAGAGAGAGAATCTTAGGCCAGCTCCAGGCGCTGTCTGATGCGGGGTTCGAGCTAATGATCCTGAGATCATGACCTGAGCTGAAATCCAGAGTCAGACGCTTAGTCGATTGAGCACCCAAGTACCCCTTTTTTATGCACTCAAAATGATTATTCTGAGAAGTGATCCCATAGGCTTCATAGACACACAAAGGGTCCCTGGTGCAGGAGCGGTCAAGAGCATTGAGAGTTCTTCTGGCTCTGATCTCAGCTGATGAGTCTCTGGGCGGAAATGTGTGAGGGAGAAGAACTCATAAGGAAGGCATTCATTCCACAAATGGAGTCCCTGAGACTGGGGTGCATCATGGAAACTGGTGGAAACCAGGGCAATTCCCTGGCCTGGCATACGCTTGGTTTGTCTGGAGAGCAGCTTCGCTTCTCCAGATGTACAGAAAGCAGCGTTAGAATCGAAAATAATGTTTGCACACACACACACACACACACATATAAAGAGATCTATAGATATATCATTAAGCCTAAATATACATGTATGTATTTTTCTAATTATAAAAGTAATAGTCACTGTAGAAAATTTGGAAAGTAAAGAAAATGACAAAGAGAGAGGCATCTAGGTGGCTCAGTTTGTTAAGTGTCCAGCTCTTGATATTGGCTCAGGTCATGATTTCAGGGTCATGAGATCGAGCCCTGTGTCCAGCTCTGTGCTCAGAGCGGAGTCTGCTTGGGATTCTCTCTCCTTCTCCCTCTGCCCTCGCCAACAAATAAATAAATCTTAAAAAAAAAAAAAAGAAAGAAAAGAAAATGACAAAGAGAGAAATAAGAATTATCTGTAACCCCACCAAAGTTAATTAGAGGCATTTTGCTTCTCAGTTTTATTTCAATTCAGAACAATATTTACGGTCAGTCTAGTTTGTATTTCTTAATTCTTTGCACGCCACATTATAGCTTGCTTAGTTCCCATGGTAGTAAAATGTTTTTCACTTCTTTGTACCACAATTTCTGTACCAATCTTCTACTGTTGAACATTTAGCTTCTCATTTTGAACATTGGAAGTAGCGCCTTGATCGATCATTGTACCTAAATATATCTGTGCAAGTTCAGTGATTTCCTTAGCTTATTTTTCTAAGGGTTGAATTACTGGTTTAATGAGTAAATTATAATCTTTATACATTGCATGTAAATATTTACTGACCCCCCACACCGGTGGAAGGTGACAGCGCCCATTTCGACCACACCTTCGCCAATGACTGAATATATAATCACGTTCATCTCTGCCAATTTTATAGGTGAGAAATGGAACTTGTTTTAATTTGCATTTCTCTGATAACTTGTGAGGTTGACCTTTGGGAAATAAGTATATTTCTTCACTTGTGAATTTATTATATGGTCTTGACTTTGATAAAAAGTGTAAAAGTGAAATGCTACCTGCTCTGAGGCTCACACAGGCAAAGGGCGGAGTGAAGACAGTGCAGTGGGTGATGGGGGAAGCAGGGCTGTTGGTGTTCAGACAGCAGCATGCCCAAATGATGCCCCTCCCTGGGGACCCCAGAAACCCAGCCTGGGGCATAGGAGGGGCTGGGGTTTGGCTCCTGATGTCTCTCAAGACAGAATTCGAGCGGCTTACATTCGGTGGCTCAGAACCTGGAGACACTAGGTTCATGAAAGTAAATGAAATGAGAACATCAGAAACCTTGGAATTAAAAATAATAATAATAATAATTTAAAAACAAAAACAAAAACAAACAAACCCTGCTGACTTCCTCTGAGGGCGGTCACAGGGACCGGAGGAGACAGAACTCAGAAGGCTCTCCAAATACTGTGAGTGCGCAGCTCGTGTTGGAGGTACATGCATCATTATCATTATTATTAGTAGAAGTAATAGTGATGGTGAGAGGAAGACCATTATCTTGCCTGCCGAGCTTGGGGGAGGAAACGGAAGAGGAGGGTTAAATACACAATTCAGTCTGAGTTCCAAAATCTTAGAGAAAACGTTCAGAGTGAGACTAGGCAGATGAGAGGAACGGCGATGGCGGGTCACCATCTTTGCCGGCTTACTGCTTCTGACCTATCGCTCAAGTGCAGAGTCTGAAGTAGAAATGGCCCAGAGAATCAGAAAGCTCTCCCCGGCTCCCGCGGCCAGAAAGAAGCAGGAGGGATTTGAACCCAGGCCTTCTGAAGTCCGCGCCTAGACTCGGCTCTGTAGCGGAGCCGCCCAGCGCCCCGACAGCGACTCTGGCCCTAGAGAAACAGGGCACCGAAATAGGCAACGGGACTTTTAGAAAATGAACTGGGGAGGCACTGTGGCTTCTGACATGCGCAGAGTTGAGCAGGAAAGTGTACACAAGAAGGGAAGAAAGGCCCAGAGCGGAAGAGGAGGAGGCGTGTGCGCTGTGCGGAGTGAGCCAAAGGCAGCCCAACGAGGCTTTTTAATCTGTGTTGGTAGCAAAAAGGAAAAATGACAACAGCCTGCTGGATGGGAAGGAGTTTGCAATGAGACTAGATGGGAGCCAACAGGCCAGCCTGGCCATTTCGGATGGGCCCCCGCCCTCGGGGCTAGGAGCGCCGGGACAGCAGGGAGGGCACGAATTTGCGATGAGAGCTTCCTCGAGCCGGGCACTATTATAGCAAGGGCTTTATGCGGACCAACTCATTTAGTGTTTACTATACCTGAGAGGGGAGAGCTATGATTATTCCACTTTGCATTTAAGAAACTTGTCCAGGGTGTGATACAGGGGCAAGGAGCAGAGACAGGATCCAAGCAATCCAGGAAGGGCAAGACCTATACTACTGAGAAGGAATAGAAGAATGTGGGTGGGTCCTGGTCCCCAGGCCCCCAGGGTCCAGTCCCAGAGTAAAGGAAGGGGTAGATGAGGTTCCCGAGCTGTGGGCGTGGTCCTGAGGCAGCACGGACAGAAAGAGAAGCGCCTCAGATGGGAAAAGGGCGGATATTCTGCTTTTCCAAGAATAGACTGAGTAAAGCATAGGATGCTAGGCTGGGCATGGAGTCCCTGCCAAATTCTAGAAAGGATTTCGCAACAGATGGCGGTAAGTCCTCAGAGAAGAATGCTGATTGCCAGGGCCCAGCATGGGTTCACAAGGAGAAAATCCTGCCCCCTTGCTGATCTGTCTTCAGGAGACACTGTGGACCCGCGGCTCGGACGGGCATGCCTCCCCATCATTAGCGAGGGCAGCACGTCTCTGTGGGCATCGTCCTCCTACAGCGATTCTCCACTGAATCCCAGTCCCATGCGTCCCCACGGGGAAGTGGATCCGAATCTCGGGGGATGCTAAGTACCCTTGGAAAATGTCCTAGGGGTTTCCACTGGCTGTGACTCACTACCATAAACAGAGCTTATTACAATTTTACAGGACATTTGACAAAATCTCACTTTGTGTTTGGGACAAAATGGAGAAATGCATGCTGGTGAAATGCACTTGAAATTGGTCATGTAACCAGACTGATACACTGATGTGAACGTGCAAGAAAGCCTCTGCCTTGTGCCTCCTCTGCTTCTGTCCCTGTTTCTGTTCTGCTTGATTCATTTTCCTATTGTCATGGATAATGACACAGAAAATGTGTATTCCCTTCCCTCTGGTTCAAGGACTCAACTGAACAAGCACAAGGTGGGGGAAATCTGGCTTGACTGGAGTTTTGTGTGGCCTAGGCTCTGAGTTTTCATTGATCTCAAGGCCATTACACCTACAAAGTGATGGAGATGCTGAGACTCCGATGGTTTTTGGTTGTGTTAACAGGAGGAAAATGCTCAGCTTG